GAGCCCCTCACTCTGCTACAGAGTCCATCCATCCCTCACCTCACCCCAGAGGGCTGGACCACATGACCGCGTGGTGACACTGTCTCCACAGACCTCACCATATCCAGTGGGGGATAAAGAAATGGTATTTTGCATGGGTTGGCTGTTAGGCCAGTTGGTTAGAGCCTGGTGCTGATAATATCAAGGCCTAGGGTTTGATACTTATACAGGCCGGCCGCCAAAAAGAAAAAAAGACATTTTGTGGGCCAGGAGCCCCTGCATCAGCCATGCTTCTGTGCCTGTGTTTCAGGCCCCAGGAAAGGTCTGAACTTTTTAACCATGACATCATGTGTGTTTGTTCTGCTGCTGCTGCTTGGGCTACAAACAGCTGGGTGATAGCAGGGGAAAATAATCTTGCCTTCCTGACCCCTCTCCAAGTCAGTGACTAGGGATTTCTGCTTGGGAGACACACGGGGCTGAGCAAAGCCAGAGGGCAGGGCTCGCTAGATGGAGAAACCAGACCTGGACCTGATGCCCGAGGCCAGACCTGGCCACCCACCCACAAACCCTGCCAGTGGGCGTGAGCAGCTCCTCCCTGGGCATGGCTCCTTTGTTTTGAGTTTGGATTTAACCTCCAATAACCTCCAAGTTAGCTCCATTTGTAGTTTGGAACTGTGGAGTGGTTTTGGATCTCCTGAATCAAACAATGAATGAAGACTTATGTATACAGCAGAGGACTAGGGGTGATGCCAGGAGACTTCGTGTGCCCAAGAAAACCACTGCCTCTCTGGACTCAGCTTCCCCACGTACAAGAGCATTGGCGTTCCTTGAGAGGGGCTCAACGACCTTGTCATTCAGCTCTGCCCTCCATCTTCAAAGAAATAACCGTGCTCTTGGTTGCTTGAAACTCAGAACCTTGATTTTTTTCTTTTAAAATAAAGATGACTGGTAAGGGGATCTTAACCCTTGACTTGGCGTTGTCAGCACCACGCTCACCCAGTGAGCTAACCGGCCATCCCTACATGGGATCTGAACATGACCACGGGCCAGCCCCCTGAGAACCTTGATTTCTTATGGTTCTTTTGAACCTGCAATCTAGGATTTTCCTTGGCCTGACTCCATTTAGGAAATGCCTGATGCTGCCAGCGACCCTACTCTCAGTGATGGTGACTCACTTGGCTGTCCCTGGGGAAGAGACCTCTAAGTGGACAGGAGATGTAGGAGGCTGGGGTGGGGCTGTGGCCCCCAGTGGCAAAGATGATGACTTAAAATTGGAAGAGGCTGCACAAGATGTGAGGTTCTATGAATCTCATTTTCTGAACTGTGAAGACAGTCAAAGTTAAAACAAGTTTTACTCATTTATAAATACTGTTGTGTTTACAGGTATCATATAGATGTGAATATTATTTCCAAACTTGCAAACACGGAATACTTAATACTATATAACAACAACCAGTAAAACAAAATCATTAATCTCAGGGTTGAAAGGCCACTCAAAATTGCATAAAAATACATTCAGTTCACAAAGCAAGTCTGGCTGCCCCTCCCTAAACACCCCCACCCCACCCCAGGTGTATTTACAAAGGACTGAAGTTAATCCATACAACTTATCTGAAAAAGCGGTTACATCTGGTGCTTTAACTGTGGTGGAAGTACAGCGAGGAGCCAAGGCAGGAGCAAAGAAATGAAACGCTTCCAATGAAATGGGAAAGGCATGGAGACAGCGAGGTGGTTCTTATAAGCTCTTTCCACCCCTGTCTGATCAAGGTCAGGGCAGAGGCAAGAATAAAGGGAGGAAAACCATAAAGCCAAAGCCCGAGTCTGAACCGTTCAATTAAGAACAGGCTACATCAGGGCTGGTCAGTTAGAGCACAGTGTTGGTAACACCAAGGTCAAGGGCTCGGATCCAAGAAGAGGGTTACAAAGGTGGAACATATTCCTTCCCTCTTCAGGGAAATCATGGCCCTACGTGGGGTGCCAGGAGGAGGTAGGCCCAACCTTTCAAGGGCTAGAAAAGGGGGTATTTTTGATTGCTGTATCTTCTCAGGACCCTGTCCTACCCCTGCAGCCTGCCTCCCCCTGTCCTTTTTCCTCCGACCTCTTAACCTGGCTTCTCTTCACCAGAGGACAAAGCTGGAACTTGTTCTTAGTTTCGGTAGAGTGGGAAAGAGAATGGGTAAAGGCAGAGATACTCAGGTGAGAAGTGAGTCAGTGCCGGACCTAGCATGTCCCTCGTTCAGGATCGGCACTCTGACCTCTAACTCTGGTTTTGTAAGAACATTAGAAGCTTTTAAGAAGCTCCCACCATCAGCACACCTTTCCTGAATCCTCTCTCTTGCAAGGCAGGAATGGGCTGAGCTGCTGCCACCAGATGCACTGACACACTGATCAGGTTTGTGCTGAGAAGACACTTCTCCTAAGCTGGGAACAGTCCAACCTCTCAGGACAAAGACAGAGTAAACCAGATATAGCTATCCACGGTCTCTTCGGCCTATGGAGGAGTCATACAGGCTTACAAGTCAAACCTCATCTCTGAGTAGCATCAGCACAGCCAGGAGGTTTTGAAACTGGAAGGGAGTGGTGGGGGTGGTTGCTGGTGTATAAAACTCCTCCAGGAATCTTGGCTGATTCATGGAAAACCTCCTCTCTAAAGCACCAACAGCTTCAAATGAGAAAGCAAGGAATAAAGAATGTGGAGGGAAGTGAGAGGGAGAGGAAGGGTGAAGGGTATGTTTACTTTGGAAGGACAGAAGAGCATCCTGATGTCACCTTAAGGGGCCACCCAAGTAAAATTTTTTTTTTTTTTTTTAAAGATGACCGGTAAGGGGATCTTAACCCTTGACTTGGTGTTGTCAGCACCACGCTCACCCAGTGAGCAAACCGGCCATCCCTATGTGGGATCTGAACCCGGGGCCTTGGTGTTATCAGCACCACACTCTCCCGAGTGAGCCACGGGCCGGCCCCCAAGTAAAATTTTATTGGAAGCATTAGGGGAAAGTTTTGAGGAGAAATAACAGAAAATGTCACTGGCAGATTCATAGTCCAAAATGATAAGCAGATACATAGGGGAATGGCTCAGAAAGAAGTCCTGTGGGAGACTGGAAGGGAAGGAGAAAAGCAAAAGATATAAATAGAGTAATACACTTGGAAAAAATGGGTTTCTGAGTTCTCACTTCTAACCAAGAATATTCCAGACCTAATTTTGAAAGCTCTGTGCATGCATATGCACATAAGCTAGAAGCAAGAGTAATCCCCAAATTGTTAAACCTTTTTAGGTGGGGCCAGAACTTTCATTAATGGTGTCTTGTCTTTAGGCACACTCACCTCTTACTTACAGTTCTTCCCAAGGAGGGGCTTCTGGGACGCTGGGTTGCAAGCCATACCCATGAGGTTCTGTTTGGACTCTCAACCACAGCTCTCAAAGGAGAAGTAAATGCATCTTTTACCATGTGGCCACTGGCTGGCTAGTAAAGATTCTCTACTTGCTTTTTTCTCAGCCCTCAAGGGACCTCATTCTCTAGTAGCTGTGACAATAACAGTTCCTGGGCTGCAATGAAGTTGATCTATTTTCCAATTTAATCAGAACACAAGCGATCAATAGCTGTCTCTGATAGGTCTACTGCTCCTGAGCAGTGTCAATACTCATTAGGGAAGCTGATTAAAATCTCTGCTCAGCTGGAGGCTGTGGGATGAAGTCACCAATGAGACAGAAGTCATTTCCGTGGGCCGAAACTTTGCTTCTGGGAAGCTCATTTCCTCCCAGTGCTTGCTGCCTCCATACTACTCTACGTCCAAGGCTCCTAACCTTCTGCCTTCTTCCCACCACAGCACACAGGCCACCTCCACTTCCAGAGTCTCTGCCCTTTCACTTCACTCACACCCAGTCCTGCAGGTGTCTTGCGAGATCTGAGTCAAGTTTTATGCGGTGGGGCTGTGTGGACTCTGGGTTTGTAAACGCTTACTGCTTTGGTAGTCTCCTCTGCAGATCTACATTAAAGGAAATACCATTTTGAAAAGCACTGGAACCTCCTACTTCTGATAGTCCAGAATCCAGAGGAGGAGCTCAATGGTACTATAGATTGAGGTTTTTATTGCGTAAAAGTCTCTTGCTGCTGTAAGGCAGAGTTCAAGACTATGAACCAGCTGGTGCTAAGCAGAAATGCAATTAGTCTGCTGTTTGGGTGTTAAGAGCCAATGTAGATCACATTCAAGAAAACAGAAAGGTGGCTGAGGAAACGTACAAAGCAGCAGCTCTATTTCCTATTAAAACAATTTGTTCAAAGGCTGCCTGCAACAAATTGCTTTTTATCCATTTTCCCGGGAGCTCCAATTTCCACCTCTGCAGGTTTTAATATTCTTCCCAAGCCATTAGGAGAGAAAGCAATTGCAACACCATTCAATTACCCTTAATAGTATTAAATTCACTTTCCAACGAGTATGAGAAGTCAACCTTGGCACGCTGATGTTAAACAGTTTGAATCCGGAAGAAAACAAAAATTTTTGTTATTGAATTGTGAAGTAGAAAGAAATTCTGAAGCAGAAATTCAGAGTTTAAGAAATGTTCTGATCTTCCTAAGAATGAATAAATCACAGAATTTTCAGCCAAAGGGATCTTAAAGATCATCCAGCCCAACCTCATTTCAGACAGGGAAGGTGACTCCCAAAGGTCACATGGCTAGTAAGTAGAAGGGCTGCCCCTGGAATCCCGATGTTTTGACTCCTAGCATCTCATCCTTTCACATCGCCTTATTCTGCCCTCAAACCTGCCTTGTTTATTGGGTCAGAGGAACTCACATCCTTTGAAGGGTTGGAACCTGCCTTAAAAATCAGTATGGTGGTGGGCCGGCCCGTGGCTCACTCGGGAGAGTGCGGTGCTGATAACACCAAGGCTCCGGGTTCGGATCCCATATGGGGATGACCAGTTCGCTCACTGGCTGAGCGTGGTGCTGACAACACCAAGCCAAGGGTTAAGATCCCCTTACCGGTCATCTTTAAAAAAAAAAAAAAAAAAAAAAAAAAAAAATCAGTATGGTGACCAAGATTTGTAGTTATAATTGGGCATAGATTTGGCCAGGAACTACCTTAAACAAGGGATGGGAGCTAGGATAGAAACCAGGGAAAGCCTGGAAGAGAAAGCAAACACATCCTGCAGTTGGACAGAAAAAGAAGGGAGGTTCTAGGAAATATCAAATGAGACTGGCCCAGCAGAGGATTTAGCGTACTCAGTAAGCCCAAGTTCTCTGTATTCTTCAGATTCTTTAGAGGCAACACCCGGAGATTTGCATAACCCTTACACTAGAGACTGGGATGGGGCTAGGGGTCATCATACCCTGGAACTATCTGGAAAAGGATCAACATCCCTTGAAAGACAAACAGGCTAAGAACTTCAGCCAGAAAATCTCTGGAATGGCCAAATCATTACTCTTAAAGGTGTGGCTTGGTTTTTGGAAAATATCAAATTAATGAGAACAGAGGGTGTAAAGCTGTACTGAGAATGTTCTCTTCCCCATTCTGATATTTCACGTAAAGACTCCAAAGTGACAGACCTGAGCCCCACATCACTGGCCAACCTGTAGCTATTCACTCAGTTTGAGCTACCTGGGTGCTTGTGAGTATCCAAACCATCAGGTGAGGACTGGAGGTTCTGGCCACTGAAGAGACCAACAGCAGGTAACTGGCCAAGCAGCACAAGAAAAGAGAGACCTGATGCCAGCACCCAGAGAGAACAGGTGGCTAGTAGAAGGCCTATAACCACCATGTCATGGGACTTCCAGTCAATACAGTTGTGAAGAAGTGGTATTTTATTCTCTGGAGAGAGACCAGAATTCAGAGTTTATCTGTTCAATAATAAAATTAATTGCATAAGAGAAAGTGCCTGAGATTACCTCGGAAGGTTGACATTTTCATGAGTTCTTGGCCATAGCATCGAGTATACCTGAGATTGAAAAGCTTGTAAATTTCTTGTCAAAAGGGAAACTTACTGGCAAGAAAAGGCATCTTTAACACGAAAGGGCCAGGTGAATCTGCAGGGGTATGACACCAATCTGAGAGTTTTGAGAACCTGCCTCACATTTTGAAAGGTACAAACAGACCTGAGGAAACTCCAATCCTTTTACCTGGTCTATCAAATGGAAGAGGGTCAAGACGTTTTCCTAGTAATCCAATTTTCTTTTCCTAAGAAAGAGGCAGTGATCTCCTCTTCCCCAATATCCAGGATGTGTCAGGAGAATCAATTAGTCAACACCTTGTGTTGATTTCCTCCCCCTAGAATGAAGGATATGCTTATAGTGGAAGATAGGAAACCTCTCACTCTAACTTAGCATTCCCTGAGAACTGAACTCCTGCTGCTCCCAGGGTAATACAACGTCCCAAGACAGTAAATAGCTCCTCTTGGAAAACTGTTGGATATGGAAGGAAGAATTTTGTATACTCTAAAAATGAGATTTTGCCAGAGGAGACATATCTTCCGTTCTGGAATTGGGATCTTGAATTATAGCTTCTAGTTTAAAGAGCAAGTGATGTTTCAGAGGGCCATGGAGAACTATACAACCATTTTCAGGAAAGAAATTGACAGAGGCGGAACATGTTAAGAGAATGAGCCCCTCTAAGTACTGAATATCACCAGCAATCTTAAAATGAACCATGGGATACAAAAAGCAAATACTGTAAGTATTAACATTGGGTCATCATCAAGAACTAATAGTTTAATTTTGTGCTGGACTTGTGGAGTATTCTGTCCAGGTCTGGGCATGATATTTTTAAAATTTATTTATTTATTTAGGGCATATTTCAAAAGGTTTTTTTCGTCTATAAGAAGATGGCCAAGATGTGACAGGCACAAAAAGCATGCCATGTGAGAAATGACTGAAAGGACTAGGGAAACATCAGTTCGAAGTAAGATTAAGGGGAGATGACCAAGTATATATCTGAAGGGCAGAGAGCTGTACAGGGAGAATCCACAGGCAGACTTCAGTTCATAGTAGGAAAAAACCCTCTGGTTTATCAGAATTGCCCCACCTTTGAGTAATAAATGCAGGGCCACCAGAGGCTATCTGACCACAGGTCAAAGCTGTAGTAGCAGGCGTCCCTATGACACAATGGAAAGCTGGACCGAATGACCTCTGGCTTTGCCACTCTAAAATCCATGACTCCCATCAGTGGGTTGAGAGTACCTCATCCCTTTAAACCTCTATTAAGCAGTCATTTCTCCCATTAGCTTCTAGGAAAGCAAATCATTCTCCCCTGAATATAACCACTGGAAATAATCAAGTTCACCACCATTCTCACAGCACAATGGGCGCTATCTTCTGTCTTCTTTGTCACAACGTTGCGAGTGTCCTCAGATACTCTACCTTTGTCACGTATGTCTTTCCAGCCTGCTTCCATGCCCTGGTCCATCTCCCAACGATCTTACCTTCCCCACCTCTCATGCTTCCTCGCAATGACTCCATTTCTCATTAGAAGGTGCCAGAATGAGGACAGGAAAAGAAGGACAAAGGGAGGTGAGGCAGAATGGGGTGTTCAGAGCCCAGAATTTCTAATAAAATCACCTTGCAAGGGGAAGGAAGACAAGTGGGATATGAGAACAATGGACTGACACTTATGCCATGGTATGGCTTTTTAGAGAGAGGGCTGGTGGTGCCACCTCTGAGGCAACAGAGGGATGATTTTCTAGTCCCCAGAGTAATAATTTTCCATAACGGCCAAAGACAACTGAGCTCAGGTGCTCTCTGTTCTAGCTTTTACACCATCAGTGAGGGAATGAGGGAGGAGAAGGAAAAAAGGACAGAAGGGAATAAATGAAGCCAGGGCCATCTGAGTTTTGGAGGAAGGGCTAGGCATGAAGGAGGAAGGAATAAGGGTTAAGACTCATCAGGGATGTTACTGGGTTGTTGACAGAAAAAAAAAATAATTCAGTTCCTGAGAGGTGAAGAATAGAGAGCTTCAATGCAGAGTCACTGTCACCTTGGACTCTATCAGAAACACAGTTCCAGAGGCTGTCAGATGATTAATTCAACATCCTGCTATTTCTCTTGGCACCCCAGACAGGATCCCGGACTGGCCACTATAAGACTCACCTATATAAGAGGATACCGGGTCAGTATAAAAGGCCGTGGGGCTCTGGTTTAGGTACGTTACACGTTTGGACCAAACCCAGTGTGGACAGAGTAACTGAACAGCAGGAAGTTGGGGGATCCACCGCTGAGTCTGGTGGACTCCCCCAAGGCCTTCTGCAGATGGTTCAAATGATCGCAATCATGCTTCAATTAAAACGGTCATAAAACTTGGGATAGGGGTGTGGGAGGAACAGGGCATTGAGAGTGTGGAGATGTAGAGTGCAGAAGAGGTGACTGAAGCGGATCAGAAAGAAGTGTCCTTCCACCAAAACATTCACTTCCTTTGGCTGGAAGGCGATGGCTGGAAAAGAGGGCTAGGGCAGCAAATGCTGTTCCCTCCCTCCTAAATCTGGAGCCTAGTCTATTTGGACAGTTTGCTGATGACTCTGATGAGGGCACCATTTTCATCTTTCAGCCTCTGGTTGTCAGATTTCAGTTCTGTTAACACCTGTAGGGCGACAGAGGGAAAGATATGTTAGAGCTTGGCATGACTGCTATTTCCACCCTCCCTGACCTGGCCAGGCCACCCTGGTGAGCAGGGCCTTCTGAGACAGCATAGGTAATGAACTGTCACCGCCCTTTCTCCCAGGGATGAAATGCCCTTGAATCCTCCTATTTATTGAGTTGGTAATGCTAATATTTAGGGAGATCATAGGCTTTCCATCTTTTGAGCTAACATATTTAGCAGTAATATCTTAAAAGTATTTCTTTGTATATCCTTTCATTCTATTGAATCAGTAACTATTTTTAACTGCTCCTGTCTCTGAACTCATCTCTATTCTAGAGAAACCGGGGAGAGTGCCAAAGTGGGCTGGAGAGGACACAGGGAAGGAATTCAGGAGGGAGGGAGGGTGTAGTCAACTTCACACCCCATCAAAAACAGGAATGCTGGCTATAGGGGCAGAACTCAGCTTTCCTGCCATACGTGCAAGATTTAAGAGTCTTCCTCCTGGTGCGCCTTTGGTGAATGGAGTCCCCAAAATTCTTGCTGGTCATACTACACATATCCACTTTCTTTTTTTTTTTTTTTTTTTCCCTTTTTTGTCTTTTTTCGTGACCGGCAACGGATCGCAACCCTCAGTGTTGCGCCCATACCAGACCGAGACCGGCAACGGGATCGCAACCCTCGGTGTTGCTCCCACATCTCACTCAGCCAGTGAGCAGCCGGTCTGTATGTGGGATCCGAACCCTTGGCGGGAGCGGTGCCGCGCTTCCCAAGCGGCGCACTGTAGCAGTGCGCCACCGGGCCGGCCCCACATATCCACTTTCAACCAACTAAAACCCAGGGAATTTACAGATATTGTCACAGAGCTGCAAGGCACAGTGAACACTAGATATATATTTAATTCCCCCCAAAACTCCCCATTAATGGTTACTGAGGGATACCAAGAGGCCTTGTTGGCAGTTTTAGGGGATGGCATTGTCATTCTAAGAGACAGATGCTTGCAGGGGAGGGGAGGTAGTGGAGATTCAATTCTATCTGTTCTGCCATCTTGGAACATCACACATAGTGTTGTCCAACTTGTGAAACAAAGGAAAAATAACAGCCTCAGGTTCCAGCCTGGATCTCCAAGTCTTTCTTATGTGATCAGGCACTTTGACAAGTATGTTGTGCATCTGTAAAATCCTAATGGGGATATTGATAGGGGTACGGTTTATGTGTGGGCTCTGTTGGTAGCAAGAGCGATTTAGATTAGAATGTAAGTACATCTTCACCATGAAGGCTACAGAAATCTACACCACATCTGTTCAATACAGATGTCCTTTGATTGACTGGTCATTTAAACTTACAGGACCCTTGTGGCAAGCAATGCCCCCAGTAAAGGGTGGCCTGGGCTGAGACGTTTGAGGCCTGTTTATTTCTAACTCTGGCTTTGCTATTAACTACTTAGGGGATCTAACTACACCTTAAGGAATATAATCTTTGTTTCCTCTATCTCACAGAGAAGGTGTAGGTTAAATTATACAGGTGTATGTCTATGCACACATATATGCATCAAAGATACATAAATAATTTGAGTTGGGAAAAAAGGAAAACATTACTGAATACCTATAATGTGGAAGGCACTGTGCTAGAGGGTCTCACTATCAATTCGTGAGTCTGTGATACAGTTGTTATCCTTATTTCTATAAATGAGGAAAAGAAGAATTTCATAACTAGTCCAAGGCACCCAGCCAGTAAATGGTAAAGCTAATATTGAACCCAGTTGTGTCCAACTCCACAGATGGTCATACTTTCATTACAGGTGAAGTGCGGTGGAAAACAATACACCAGAAACTGTCATAGCCCAGAAACTGAAATCCCAGCATTGTCACTGTCATTAATGATCTGTATTACTTCAGGCAAATCATTCAACTTCTCTGCATTTCTATTTTAGTATTTTTAAAAGAACGATAATCCTTGTCCTACTCCCTCATAAGGTAGGGACTCTGTGAGGCCCACAGGAGATAACAGATGTGGAAGTATGTTGACATATGTAATGTGTTCTGCAATCCTGACTGCTTCTCCTACCACTATGAGTTTTCCTGTGAAAGTGGGAAGGGAGGCAAGTAATCTACAGACTTCACTAAGAAGACTTTACTCCAGAAAACATCAAAATAAAGTTTCAGTCCTTTGACCCTGCCTCTCACCTCCAGCTCAATCAAAGCAGCTCTGGCTGCCGTCTTTCATGCCTCTAACCCTGCAAACTTGCCTACCAGAATCAAGTGCTTAGAAACTCATTTCAATAAAATTTCTGGAAAAAGCCAGCCCAGGGTGGCATTGTGACATTTCACCTTCCCATCTGCTCTCTAATGCCCCATCCTGGGGCCTGCCATTTGGGTAGCAGTGAGACCCAGAGAGCCATGTTCCCATAATAAGATTCCATAGGTGGAAGAAGCTATATATGGCAGTGGATTACATTTCACTGCTTAACAGCTCATCAAATCACAACTGAGCTGCTCCCCACCCTTTTTAAAAAATATAAAATATACAAACAACTCATCAAGCTTTGGTGATTTATTTCCACATTAAGAACTCAATTCCTTGAAAAAAAAATTTGGACTAGGCAGTTTCGCAGCTGCAACATGCTACAATTGACATCTTACAGGAGTGTCAAAAAGTACAAGAAATATAATGTAGAAATCAAGGGCGGAAAGCCTTACAAACCTTACTCTCAAAAGAGGGGGGTGGGGAATGAACAGTGTTATCTGATATTCACTTGAAGTTAAAGAATGATTAAGCAAGAACATACGTGAAAGTACTACACACATCTGAGGTTTAACAACGCTTTCTCATTTCAACTCCCTGGACCTCAGCTTAATTTCTAAATTTCCAGCTTATCACAGCTGGATGTTAAAGATACCTTCGACAAATAAAGCACACATTTTCTCAAATATTACTTCTTACAGCCTTCGATGAGGAATGTGTTAAAGAGGAAGAGGATACAGGGGTCCTGAAGCTTCAGAGACCCAGGGGAGGCTAGCTTGTAGGGTCGGAGGGACTCAGAATAAGTCTTGACTGAACTGCCTTGCTTCCAACCACATGGGAAGGGAGTCTCTCCTTGTATTTTGTTGGCAAGTGGCTTGTACTACACACTGAGATAAGATGATTTCTTCAGGGAACTATTTTTTAAAAAGAAAAAAAAAAGGGCAGGGCAAAAATCTTTTGATCACACCCCCAGTTTAGCTTAGTTATCTCATCTTTCCTTCTGGCAGGGGAGGGGCGGGGGTTGGCAAGTTTTTTCTGTAAAGGGACAGATAGTAAATATCTCAGGGTTTGCAGTCCATACAGTCTCTGTTGGCAACTACTCACCTCTGCTGTTGTAGCACAAAAGCACTCATAGACATAATGACAATACATAAACAAATGAACATGGTTCAGTTCCAACAAAACTTTATTTTTTATACATTGAAATTTGAATTCCATATAATTTTCATGTGTCATAAAATATTATTCTTCTATTAATTTCTTTTTTGACTATTTGTATAGCTCATGGGCCATATTAGTGGGCCACAGTTTGCTGACCCCTGCTATAGAAGGTCATGTACCTGGCAATGGTTTTCTTTACAGGGACAAAATCTTTTGGTAGGTAAATGGCTCTTTGAAAGTTAACCTCTGACAAGTAAGTCCGGGTGCTGAGAAAGCAGAATATTGACCTTCATTCCTCCGCTGCAATGCTGGGGGCACACTGTAGTTGTTCAATAGATCCTTCTTGAATTGTTTAGGCTGAATGCTTAACAAATGGTTAAAACTCTGTGGCAAATATGCAGACAACTTATATCGCAGTGGTTAAGAGCCTGGACTCTGGAACCTGACATATTTGGTTTCAGTTTTGTTTCTACCACAACTTGCCCAAGGTCACTTACTCTCTGAGTGACCTTGGGCAAGTTACTGTGACTCAGTTTTTTCATATGTACAATTACTGTTCTGGGGAATAAATGAGGAAAACCATATAAAGCACTCAACACAGGCCTTAATAAATGACAACTGTGATCAAGATTATTGACTACTGGAAGCATGAGATCTAGTTTAGCCCCAGATCTTGTACTATGTTGCAACAAAGAGGGAAACTAAAAATAACTGGGACATCTTTTGAGGGTCTCTAGTTCATCCCAAGTCAAATTTTCCAGGAATCTCGAGGCAAGTTTTAAAGCATGGAGCTTGGATCTAACAGTGGCTGCCAGGCCGTGGTAGCACTTTCCTTTCAGTTTTTTTTTGCCTGTGATAGCATCTGCAGCAGGATATTAGCTCAGCCCTTGTGGTAATTTGGGTGTTTCAGTTCTAGTGGATATTAGTTGCCAGCTACTGACCCTGAAGGCAAAAGCAAATCGGCAGAAAAAAGAACAGACCCTGGTCAGGACTAATTAGATTGTTGCTGAAAATTAAAACCTCATTTCAGAGCAGTGGTGACCCCATCACACCATCTTGGGATGAGAAAACAAGTCGTCTGTGAACTTGTCTTTCATATCTACAGCTAGGGGAGGGCTCCAGTATGCCAAACACAGTTTTAGGTTCTCAGTTGAAAAGAAATCCCTGCCCTTTTTTTCCATTGCCTGTCATCTCCTTTGCAAAGTTGGCTGCATAAGGGAGGGCCTGGCTGTGTGAGGGTCTCATTTACATAAGGCTGCATTCTTTTTTTTTTTTTTTTTAAAGATGACCGGTAAGGGGATCTTAACCCTTGACTTTGGTGTTGTCAGCACCACGCCCAGCCAGTGAGCGAACCTGCCATCCCTATATATGGGATCCGAACCCGGGGCCTTGGTGTTATCAGCACCGCACTCTCCCGAGTGAGCCACCGGGCCGGCCCCCATAAGGCTGCATTCTGCCTCACAGCCCACACACTTGGGACAGGAAGGGACACATCCCTAGTGCCCAGAGATTTGTGACAGAGATGATAAAAATGCCTCCAAAGAAGGAAGAAGAAAGCAAAGACTATTGTAGAAGGAGGCAAAGAATGCTTATCCAAT